AAAAAAAAAAAAAAACCTGAAGATTCCCCGCGCACGCCCCATGGGACACAGCCACGACGTCTCAGCCTGCTTCCCCGCGGCCTGCTTCTCTCACTACGGCCAGCCACCCGCCATCCTCAGGCATCCCCATTGTACCGTCACAGGCAAACCTAATTCCCTTTGCTTGTGACACCCTTGCCTCAGTCTCATTTTACACTTGATAAACTCGTATTCATCCTTTAAGGCCCCAAACCCCTTCTTTGACTTCTCCACCTCTGCCTGTGGGACCAGCTACCCCTCTCCTTGCCCTCCCACCCCCGCCCCAGGCCGGGTAGAGGACAACATGGGAAGATAAGGTCGACAACAAACGGAGGAGCCCCTGCACCTTCTGAAGGGTCAAAGCTCCTCACTTCAAACCAACTGCTGCTGCTTGCAAGTACAGACCCAGAGTTATGGATTCCAGTTTCTCAGATAAAACAAGAAATCTCAAATTGAATTCATTTTTCCATTCAGCCAGCAATGTTTTGTGGAGCACTTACTATATGCCAGCAGGCCCTGTTCTGAATCTGCGGGTTTAGCATCCAATGAAACATATAAAAATACCTGCTTCCTGGACCTTCTATTCTAGGTGGTGAGGGAAAGGAAAACCAGAAGAAAGGCAACATATGTATTCTGGAGAGTGAAAAGTGCCAGAGAGAAAAAGAACACAGGAAAAGGGAGTAGAAAGTGGGGAAGCAGAAGAGGGTCACTCAAGTCTCCAGTTCAAGGTAGAGGTGTGGACCGGAGGCATATATTTTTAATGTGAAATCTCCAAAATATTAAATACTTTGAGGACCTAGTGGGCCACATTCAGCCTATGGACCACCAGTTTGTCAACCCTGGTAGTGAAGACCAGGACTGCACCTGTCGGAGAAAAAAGGGTTAGAATTAGAATAACATACCTTATGTTTTCCTTTTTTTTTTTTTTTTAAGATTTTACTTATTTGACAGAGAGACAGAGAGAGGGGGAGGGAGGGAGGGAGGGAAAAGCAGACTCCCCGCTGAGCAGGGACCCAGACATGGGGCTCCATCTCAGGACGCTGGGATCATGACCTGAGCTGAAGGCAGATGCTTAACCAACTGAGCCACCCAGGCGCCCCCATACCTTATGTTTTCATGTGGCCTTACAATTCCCAGAGCTGCCATGGCTGTCATCCCTCTTGTAGAGAGAGGGGAACTGCCACATGGCGTGTACGTGGCAGAACCAGGAGGCAAACTCAAGCTCCCCCTAATATCCTGGAAACCAAGGGAGAATAGCGAAAATACGAAAATTGAGCAACAGTAGCAAAGGCTGCGATGTCAAAGACCATGAGGACCTGAAATGGATCCAGGTCACCCAAGAGCCTCAGAAGTGGAGAGGAGGCTATAAAGGTAAAGACGAGGCCTTAAGTTCAACAGAAGAGACAAACCACCTGGCTTCAAACAGGAGCGATTTCGTTCTGCTGGCGCTGCTGCGTGGTGAATTATGCGCCTCTGAAGGCAGGAAGCAACGACTCAGTGGAGATGCTGTTGCAGCGCTCGGCGCCGCCAGCCTGCACAATTTCAACAGTTCGTACCCAGCTCCCTGCCTACTCCCTCCCATCCTTTCTCTGCAGTGTGCCAGAGGAGCTCTAAAATCTGCCAACACCACACCTCTGCTAAAACCCTTCAGTGCTTCTGCATTTGCCCACAGGAAACTTCCCCAACTCCTGGACCTGACTTCAGAAGCTGTTCACAGGCTGGACCCCAGGCTTCTTTTCCAGCATCCTCTCCCACCTTTGTCCATACACCCAGGTGCCTGGGAATGAAGAAGGGCGGCTGGAGAAAAGGGAAGTGAGGACCTTCAGGAACCACACGTCTCCCAAGTGCTTCAGACCAGCAGCATTTCCTGACACTTTGGACACACATTGTTCTGTTGCCTAAAATGTCCTCTCCTCCTCCTCGTCTGTCAAGAGAACTCTAACAGCACCTCTTCTGTGAGGACTTTCTCAACATTAGTCACTCATTCCTCTGACCCTTGGTACTTCAAATGCCCCTGTTACAGCACTCCACACAATGCTTCGTGATGAAGGACTTTTCAGTGCCTCAACCACTGCCTTCCTCTTCACACCTCTAACTCCTAGCATGGACTTCCACCCAAGCACCGGACATCTGCTGGGTGAAGACGCAGGAACCAGGATCACACAGGAAAGCTCTGTCATTCGAGAGCCAAGATACACAATGGCTTCTTGTGTCTGGGCCTGTACCACCCTGCAAAGAGCTCCTCAAGGGGGAGGATCTTGCCCTCTTCGTCTCTCCACCCCTCACGCTAACACTAGCCTGGGACAGAACAGGGCCTCAGAGCTAAGAATGCAGGCTTTGAAGTCCCACTGATCTGGGGTAGCACAGCTTTGCCGCATACAAGCTAGATGGCCTTGGTCAAGTTACTTAACATTTCTGAGTCTCCTTTCCCAGCGCCTACACATACTAGGTGCTCAAATATTTGTTAACCGATATGTAAATATTTGTTAACGGACACGTAAAGATAATACTGCCTATTTCATAAGACTCTCAGGATTATGTGAGAGCTTATGGGTCAAACACTGAGAATTCTATTTGATGAAAGTCTATCACATCATAAATGCTCCAATTTTCCCTTCCAGTCTTTCTTCCCTAAAGTGAATGTAGGAATGAAGAAGGTCATACTTAAGACTAATAATATAAGGTAGGTGAAGGTGCTCACAACAGACAAATTTGATCTTTCTCTACAGAAAAAACGAAGATCATCAGCTACCATTAGAATTTGAGAAAACCTCTCAAACAACTGTCCTAGAGGAAATAACAAACAGTAAGAGGCTGGCCAGCAGCAATCTCTAGTGAATCCAAATTGCCCAGTCTAGCTATTGTCTGAATGGGTTCCCCCAAAATTCATATGTTGAAATCTAACCCCAAGAAGGTGGTATTAGGTCCTCTGGGAAGTGATTAGGTCATGAACGTGAAGCCCTCATGAATGTGACTAGTGCTCTTATCTACAAGTCCCCAAGAGAGCTCCCCTACCCCCCTCTGCCATGTGAGGACAGGAGAAATCTACAAACCAGAAAAGGGCCCTCACTTGACCATGCTGGCCCCCTGATCTCAGACTTCAGCCTCCAAAACTATAAGAAATAAATTTCTATTATTTATAAGCTACCCAGTCTGTGGCATTGTTACCAAAGCCAGAACATTCCCCTCTGAATATTCTGTGACCTGGCCGAGACCTCTGTGCTAAAGGTGGGGAGGAGACAGATAATGGGGGACCCACACACAAAGCCAAGCGTTTACCCCTCAAAATTTACAGAGCAAATGCAAAACAGGTAGATAGGTGGGTAAAAGTAGGAATGAGGGGACCTTAGAAGGACCAAGGGGGAGAACATGCTGTTTTTGTGAGTGCCACTGGGCTGTGATTGCTGACAGGACTCAGGACTTACTAGAAAAACAAGCTGGACATAACTGCAGAGTATGAGGGGAAGAGGTGCAGACTGAGAAAAAGATAAGAAAGGCATTTTGTAATTCATCAAGATGAGTCAAGTACTGTACCTTGTTTTCAAACTAACACTAAAGGGCAGAGCCCTTAGCAGTGCTAGAGAGGGACAATTTGAATTAATAATATCAACATCCCCATATTCTATCCTCACTCAATATGAGTGATCTTTCAAAAATGCACATCTGCCTTCCCTGTGTATAGAACTCTACATAACTCTTTAATGGCTTGGAGTAAAATCCAAATTCCCTTGGCTATTAAAGCCCCAAAGCCCCGTTGCAATCGGCCCCCTACCTAGCTCTCCAGTCTCCATTCTGGGCTCTTATGCTCCACACACATCATGAGGCAGTCTTGTGACTTCTCAAGCCCGCCCACCAGGATGTGTTCCCCTTAGAAGCAGTCTCACGGGGCGCCTGGGTGGCTCAGACGGTTAAGCGTCTGCCTTCGGCTCAGGTCATGATCCCAGAGTCCTGGGATCGAGTCCCGCATCGGGCTCCCTGCTCCTTGGGAGCCTGCTTCTCCCTCTGCTTCTCTCTCTCTCTCTCATGAATAAATAAATAAAATCTTTAAAAAAAAAAAAAAAGCAGTCTCACGGCTCCACAATCCAACAGAGTACTTGACACCCAGTAACCCTCAAGAACTTACTGACTAAAAGCAAGGCACCAACCCCACAACCTCTGACACAGGACTGGACTACTCACTGCTCCATGCTTAACCATTTAAATTGATTTTGGCAAAAAACACCCCCTTAGGCCTAAATAAGATAAAGATGGGCCCATGATAGAATTAGACCCACCTGGATTAAAGGCTATTCCTTCAAATCTTGGTTGCTGGTCTGCAGGTCACCCTGAGCCAGGGATGCAGTACACCTGGAAGACTAGGCAGATTCCTACCCTTCTTGGAAGGCTTCATTCTCTCTCTAATTGTCACTGAAGTCAAATGTAATCAATCGAGATTATTTCATGCTGTGCCCAAATCAAGTGAAAAACTGTATCAAGAAGGGTTAATGACAAGATTAAACTGTATGGGCAAAGCCCCATATTTACTTGATTTACCTGTGAGTCATATTCAATATGTATTTTTATGCTAAAGACAAAGCTTTTGAAATCACTGTTAAAAAAAAAAAAAATCCAGGGGCGCCTGGGTGGCTCAATCGGTTAAACGACAGCCTTCAGCTCAGGTCATGATCCCAGGGTCCAGTGATTGAGGCCCACGTTGGGCTCCCTGCTCCGCAAGGAGTCTGCTTCTCCCTCTGCCCCTCATCCCGATCGTGCTCTCTCTAAAATAAATAAATAAAATCTTTGGGGGAAAAAAAAAATGTGCCATACAGAGTTCTGTGAGGTCCACGGTGAGAACACTTGGAGCACTTCACCTAAGAGTTCCCCAGGATAAACAGCCAAGGACAGCCTAGTTTCTCAGCTCCACATAATTTAACCACGCAGAAGTTTAGAGACACGTTCCTTAGTGCCTTTTTTCACTGCTTTTGTAAGATCACTTTATCTGAAGGCAGCCCATCTCACCCAACTAAGACTTTCCCTCCACTCTTCTTCATACAAAACTCCTCACCTCTTAAGGCCCAGAGCTCCAAACCCGGAATACAAACTAAGAGGGCAGTGATCTGTTTTGTTACTGGAGAATCCCAAGCAACTAGAACTCTCCTGGAATGATCTAGGCCCTCAGTAAATATTTGTTCAAAATATGAGACTGAAAAAGGGGATGAAGCTCACACTTGGGCCGGCAACGTTAGCTAGTACTCTCTCACCGGGAAAACAGCCAACTATGAGAGATGAATTGCATTTTTCTATTTCTCACAGACTCATGTTCAACTTTCCCTCACCGGGAAAATTTTATCCTTTTTTAAGTTCACATAAAAGGAAACAGTGGAGGAAATGTACCTCCTCTGAGAAACCCTCCTGCATGTTCCCAATGGGGAACTAAATGTTTAAGCTCCAAAACAAACTCTACGCTACCCACCAACCAAAACCCCAAGGTGCTAGAAACTGTAACTTCAGTAAAAAGCTACACCAAGAACCAAATCCTTATTCTCAGTTCTGTGACTCAGAGAACTTCAAAGTACAAGGGCGCAATTCCTTAAATTTACAACTGAAATAGGTCTGTGTCTCCTGAGCAGGCAATGCACCTTCTAGGCAGTTATCCTCCAGCCCGGCTGGCTGCACATTACAATTTACTGGAGGAGCATTTACAAATCTAGAAACCCAGACCACACCCCAACCCAATTAAATGGGAATGAGAAGCAGGCACAAACCTCCCAAGTAGTTTTAAAGTGCTGCCAAGTTTGAAAACTACCTCTCTATGGCACTGTAGGCCACCCCCCTTGGTCCGCCGGGTTTGTGATAAGCAGACCTCTGGGAAGACCCCAAAGATCTTGAAGGACATGACCCTTTTTAGTCTCCTTCTACCAACAGCTCAAGCCACGTGGAAGGGGCTTCACCGATTCCAAGGCGTCGCAGCCACCTACCTTAAGGCTGCAGGCTTCCTCCTCTAGAGAAGCCATTTCTTCTGGAGAGGGGTTGACAGGGCGAAGAGGGGATCCCTCTGACGAAAGGAATCCCCGTGTGCTCCGAATCAGGCAGCCTTTGGCGGCAGCCCCGCCCACACCTGCGCCGGAAGAATGCGAGGAGGAGGAGGAATTTCTGCGGCAGGATGAGCCCCGGGGCAACCTCGGCGTGCAGGCCACATCGTCCTCCTTCTGGACTTTCAGGCGCTTGGGGCTGCTGGTCCCTCCTGAACGCGACGCAGAGCTAGGAGCTGGCCGGCTGGAGGGGGCCACATCACTGGGCTCCCGGAGGCAGCTGCGCTTACGGGGACACCCTTCTGAAGTGCTGCTCCAGTGGTACTTGACCTTGCGCCGCTCCGACGCCATGGGCACCTGCAAGGTAAAGAGGGGGCCTGGATTCCAACACCAGCCCTCTTCAGACTCCCGCCACCCTGGGTCCCCTGGGGGAGGGTAAGCCAGAAGGTCAGAGTCAGGGGCCTCACTGACCTTTCCCCCTTCTTTCCACTGCCCATCACAGTTCTCAAGGTTTCGGAGATGCCAACGCGCTTCGCCTTAGTCAAAACGATCCGAGATTTACTAAGGGCGTCGGTTTGGTTTCCAAACCCACAACGTGCTTCCGCGATCACCAAGCGCTTCAGTTTGCACAGCGCTCCTAGGGAGATGTCAAAGCGCTTCCGGGATTACAAAGCGCTTCGATTTAGTTTGCAATACAGAGCCCTTCGGGGATGTCAAAGCGCTTCAAAAGACCACAAGGCGCTTTAGAGTCCACACATGGCGACCGGACCCGCAGCCTTTGGCGGGCGCTTGGCCCAGAGGCCCGGAATGCCGAGGGCGGGCCTCAGGGCAGGGCCAGAGCCGGCGCGCAGCCCGCCCTGCTCCCG